ATTCATCCACCGCCGTCCAGCATACTAATTTCTACCTGAAAATTGTAAATAGAGAGGGATGAGTATAACGAATTATACTCAATGATATGCTTGTTACTCCACATTCAAATCAAACGTGAAATTATGCATAAATTCTCTTACCAACATAACATGAGATTTATCACACCATGACAAATGATAATTCAAGCAAGCGCTGCAAATAACGTGAGGGCTAAATTGTGCCTTAAACTGTATCATGATTTCTTCCAAAGGAGCTCTGAACTGAAGTAATTAAATCCATACATAACAACGTATTTGAAAAGATGTGGACAAACCACTAATAGCACTGAGCATCTCACCTTTTGAAGATGAACGTGGAAAACAAAATTGCTGAAAACGTGATTCTTTATTGAAATTCCAAAGCCTTAAAAAGCCTTAATAATATGGAGAAATATTTTTAAAGAGGAGGAGAGAATAAAGACTTGTAGAAGAAGAATGAGGAATTAATGACTAAATGCTTGAGGTTTAGTGCTATATTTATACTAAACCATGGTGTAGGGTAATCACGTGGGAAGTGGAATTTTGATAAGTTTTGAATTCTAAATTTTCGTCCATACACTCCTCGGCAATTAGACTTCTATCTGATTTGGGGATAACTACTGGGTTCAGATAAATTCCATATCAACCACAATTATAATAGGAAAAAGATTTAATGGCATTGAAATTGTATGACCCCTTTACGTGGGTATGGTATCTCCAAATTGCATGAGATATATATATTTATTATTCTAATAAAACAACTTAATTGATAGCTAATTAATTTCTTGTCTTCGATTAAAACAAAATAAATGGGAGAGTGTTTCAAATGAAATAACTTAACTAGTTTAATTAATTAAAGTCCTAGCTATTCTAATACGATAATTATTAAAGACTTAATCATAATCAAAATCCTACATGATTAGGAATAATAGTTTCTATCCTAATCAAAGTAGATAAGTAAACAATTATTATAATAAATAGACTTTATCGCTACATATCATTTGCACATGAAGGATAAACTTGTTTTGAAAATGGAAAACTAGAGTCATATGCCCAGCCAAATAGATTAAGTTTCTGTTAACCTGTTTAAATCCAACCACGTAAATTAACTAAAAATGTACCTTCAAAAATAATCTGCCTTGGAGGGAGTTCTAATTATTCTAATACAATATAATTTGAAGTCTATCATAATCCGAAATTGGATAAAAGATACCTTTAATTCCTCTAAAAATTTGATTAATTAATTAGAATTCTAATTGGTGATTTTTTTATGGGATTCTGCCAAAGTTCTAAAATTGCGATTAAGAAAAAGATAAAGAGGCTGCATGACCTTTACACACGTGGACTACATATACACTGGTTTAGTAAAGATGGAGTTTTAATATGAAATAGTGATTGACTTTATCTAAACCGAATTCTACATGGTTAGGAATAATAATTTATATCCTAATTAAAGTAGATTAGCATTACAAGGAATTTAATAGTTTTTGGAATATTATTATTATGTTTTAATCAATTATCTTTAAATTCCTTAATTGTCAATACCTATCATATTAAATTCCTAATGGCCGAGACCTGAAATGCATACTAACTAATTAGAATTTTCATTTATGGCTTGATTCTTCCATTGAATTTTATCTTAATTCAACTAATCCAAAATATTCTTTTCTTAATCCTAACATATATAATTAATTATTACCAATCAAAGGAGTCCAATATTGATATAGTAATTTAGCTCGAATTAATAACTAATATTATTAACTAAGTAGTTTTCTTAATTGGCAATAACTCAAGTTTAACGAATCCAAATTGAATTTTTCTTGAGTCCATAATTCGTCATTTATTACGAGCTTCAAAATGAGCCCAATATTGATAGGGTAATTCTAACTCTTTCAATAATTAACTATTTGGCCTATTTAATAAAGGTATAAAATCTGAAACCTATTATCACTTTGGTCCCTCAACTATAAAGATATTCACATAGATCCAAATTAACTATAGAGATAACCAATTAACTTGTATAAGGACTTAACTGAACATTGCATTCCTATTAAATAAATTAATGCTAAGTAAAAATTCGGGATTTTACAACTTTACCACGTGACATTAACCGATCCGACAATTTAAATTTCAAACGGTTTTCTCATCCATTTGACACTTTACAACAACGCAAGTGTCAAACTATATGTCAAAAATCAGTGTACAAATAGCAAAGTTCAATCGGTATGAACCTTGCTACATGTACACTTTAGTTTACACATTGCCATGTGACATTACCCTTTTGGACAGTTTAAATTTCAAATAGTTTTCCCATCCAATTGACACTTGACAACAATGCTAGTGTCAGACTATGTGTCAAAAATCATGGTACAAATAGCAAACTTCAATCGGTATAAATCTTGCTGCATGTACACTTTAGTTTACACTTTACCACGTGACATTACCCAGTTGGACAGTTTAAATCTCAAACAGTTTTTCATCCAATTGACACTTGATGCCAATGCAAGTGTCAAACAACGTGTCAAAAATCAGTGAACAAATAACAAAGTTCAATCTATTTGAACCTTGTTACATGAACAGTTTAGTTTACATTTTCCCACATGACATTACCCTATTGGATAGTTTAAATTTAAAACAGCTTTCCCATCCAATTGACACTTGACAGTGATGCAAATGTCAAACAATGTGTCAAAAATTAGTGTATAAATAGCAAAGTTCAATCGGTAAAAATCTTGCGACATGTACGCTATGGTATACAGTTTAGTTTACACTTTTCCATGTGACATTACCCTGTTGGATAGTTTAAATTTCAAACAATTTTCCCATCCAATTGACACTGGACAACAATGTAAAAATTAATCGACGTGTCAAAAATCAGTGTACAAATAACGAAGTTCAATCGGTAAGAACCTTGCGATATGTACACTATGGTGTACACTTTAGTTTTCACTTTGCCACGTGACATTATCCCGTTGGACATTTTAAATTTCAAACAGTTTTTCCATCCAATTGACACTGGACAACAATGTAAAAGTCAATCAATGTGTCAAAAATCAGGGCACAAATAGCAAAGTTCTATCAGTGAGAACCTTGCGACGTGTACACTTTGGTGTACACTTTAGTATACAGTTTGCCACGTGATATTACCCTACTGGACAGTATAAATTTCAAACAGTTTTCCCATACAATTGACACTTGACAACAATGCAAGTGTCAAACAACGTGTCAAAAATTAATGTACAAATAGCAAAGTTCTGTCAGTATGAACCTTGCTACATGTACACTATGGTGTACACATTTTAGTTTACACTTTGCCACGTGACATTACCCTACTGGACAGTTTAAATTTCAAACAATTTGCCCATCTAATTGACACTTGACCACAATGTAAGTGTCAAACAACGTGTCAAAAATTAGTGTACATAGCAAAGTCCAATTGGTAAGAACCTCACGACATGTACACTATAGCGTACACTTTAGTTTACACTTTGCCACGAGACATTACCCTGTTGGACAGTTTGAATTTCAAATAGTTTTCCCATACAATTGACACTTGACAACAATTTAAGTGTTAAACAACGTGTAAAAAATCAGTGTTGCCATCCCGTTAACACTTGACAATGATACAAATGTCAAACAACGTGTCAAAAATTAGTGTACAGATAGCAAAGTTCAATCGGTATGAACCCTGGTAAAGTAGTATACACTTTACCACGTGACATTATCTTGTTGGACAATTTAAATTTCAAACATTTTTACCATCTAATTGACACTTGATAGCAATGCAAATGTCGAACAACGTGTCAAAATTTAGTGTACAAATAGCTAAGTTCATTCGGTAAGAACCTTGCTACATGTACACTATGGTGTACACTTTACTTTACACTTTGCCACGTGATATTAACCTGTTGGATAGTTTAAATTTCAAATAATTTTTCCATCCAATTGACACTTGACAACAATGCAACTTTCAACAACTTGTCAAAAATCAGTGTACAAATAGCAAAGTTCAATCGATAAGACCTTGCTACATGTACACTATGGCGTACAATTTAGTTTACACTTTGCCACATAACATTACCCTGTTGGACAGTTTAAATTTCAAATATGTTTCCCATCCAATTGACATTTGACAACAATGTAAGTGGCAAACAATGTGTCAAAAATCAGTATACAAATAACAAAGTTTAATTGGTAAGAAACTTGCTATATGTACACTATGGTGTACACTTTAGTTTACACTTTTCTACGTGACATTACCCTATTGGACAATCTAAATTTCAAACAATTTTCCTATCCAATTGATTCTTGACAACAATGCGAGTGTCAAACAGCGTGTCAAAAATCAGTGTACAAATAGCAAAGTTCAATTGATAAGGACATTACTACATGTACACTATGGTGTACACTTTAGTTTACATTTTGCCACTCACATTACCCTATTGAAAATGGGAGAACATTACTATGGACTTTTTATTTGGTCTTCCTCGTACTCAAAATGGTCATGGTGGAGTTTGGGTGATTGTAGATCATTTGACCAAAACTACGTAGTTCTTACCGATCAAAGCCACTTATACTTTAAATAATTGGCAAAGTTGTATGTGGATGAGATAGTGAGCTCATATGGTACTACATTATCCATTTTGTTTGATAGAGACCCTCATTTTACATCTAAATTTTGGCCCAGGTTGTAGGAAGTCATGGGTACTAAACTACATTTCATTACAGCTTTTCATCCTTAGATAGATGGCCAGTCAGAAAGGACCATACAGACTCTTGAGGATATGTTGAGGGCTTATGTTTTAGAGCTCAAAGGTAGTTGGGATACTCATCTACCATTGATGGAGTTTTCTTACAATAATAGCTACCACTCTAGTATTGAAATGGCTCTTTTTGAAGCTTTATATGGTCGGAAGTGCAGGAAACCAGTTTGTTGGAATGAAGCTGGTAAGAGGAAATTAGTAGGCCCTTAATTGGTTCAAATGACGTTCGAAAATGTGAATTTGATCAAGGAAAAGTTGAGAGTAGCACAAGATAGACAGAAAAGTTATGCGGATAAGCGCAGGAAAGACCTTGAATTTGCAGTAGGAGATAAAGTTTTTCTTAAATTATTTCCTTGGAAAGGGGTGTTGAGATTTGGCAAGCGAGGAAAGTTGAGTCCACGATATATTGGACCTTATGAGATTACTGAACGGATTGGCCCAGTTGCATATCGATTAGATTTGAATTATCTTGGATCCATGATGTTTTTCATATCTCCATGCTTCGCAAGTACATTGCGGATCCTTCTCATGTTCTAGAGTCTCATCTAGTTCACTTGAAGGAGAATTTGACTTATACAGAGGAGCCAGTGAGAATTCTAGCTAGAAAGGTGCAAATTCAGCGGAACAAGACAGTCTCACTTGTTAAGGTACTCTGGCAGAATCAGACAGTAGAAGAGGCTACATGGGAGAACGAGGATCAGATGCGTGCTCAATATCCTCGTTTATTCATTGCTTATTCAGTTGCCAGTTGAATTTCAAGGACGAAATTCTTTTAAGGAGGTAAGATTGTTACAATTCAATTTTTATAGTAAAAAATTCAAATGTTGACTAGTCAAGGTCAAAGTCAATTAAGGACTAAAATGAAATTAAATATTTTATTGGGGTTTGTTCTCCAGTTGGCAATATATGAAGGTTAAATTGGATACATTTCAAAGTTTGGAATTTATTTATATACTTTTGGAAGTTATAGGATTAAATGTCACTCAAAAATGGAGTTGAAGGACTTATTTTGCAAAATTGGGTATGTGGACCATTATATTCAACCATTGACCCATTTTTATCTCAAAAACACACACACACACAGTGAGAAAAATGGGCAGCAAGCTGGAGACCGAAAAAGAGAGAAAAAATTAGGGAAAAAGGGAAGGGAAAAAAAAGAAAGAAGGAAGGAAAGAAGAAAAGGGAAGAAGAAGAAAATAGGTAAGACTAATCTCTTTAAGCTTGGGTTGAATTTTTCCATTTGTTCAATTGATAAAGTATGAATTATGTTAAAATTCTAGGGTTTTATTTTAGCTCGAAATTTTTAGATTTTTTTGAGATGAATACTACTTGGAGCTCAAGTTATTGATTCTTGAATTTCTATCTACATTAAGGTAAGGAGATGTCAATTTTTTTTTTGGGAAACCCTAGAATCCGATTTTGGGATTTTGATTAATTAATTGTGGAAATGATTATATAAATGGAATATTTCACTTGGGAGTTGATTTTATGGAACAAAATGTATATTAAATGGGTGGAATTATGGTTACTAGTTTCACTTGATTGGAGAGTAAAATTAGTTTTAAACTTGAAAATGAAGGTTATGTTGATAATTAGTTATTAGTCAAGGGATTATAAAGTGTGATTAGCTCCAATTAATAAAGGAAAATTTGAGAATTTATTCAAGTGTCAAGAGAATTTAAATTAAGTTCTATCATTAGATATTAAGGTTTCTTGATTAAATAGAGGATAATTGGTTATTAATATCGTATTTCAAGTGGTGATGAGGAAATTGGAAACGTTTATCAGGCAATCTAGCTTGTAGCTCCTACCTTGTGAGTGGATAAAATTTATTTTTTAGAAATAAGTCTTCTTTAAATTTTAAAGTTATTTATTTTATAAAGTTGACTTCATAGCATGATTTTCAGAATAAAATGGATTTTATTATCAATTGCTTTTAAAGTTAAATTCAGTTCAGTTAAATTATTTTAGTAGCATGTTATATTCTTATTACATGTTTCAGTATAGTTAAAGTCATTTCTAAAAACCACCAGAAAGTACCCAGGTGATTTTACCCCAGTTTGCACTGATGTGAATGTGTTTCCACAGTGTATGACTATTTACAGTGATTTTCCCCGCTCTGCACTATCGTGAATGTGTTTCCATAGTGTATGACCAGATTATCAGAGGTCTTTGGGACCCACTCTCGTACACACATAGGCTTTGGGCCGTGTACTAGGGTGATTAGCCTTTGGAGCAGCTCTGCATACGTATGACCAGATTATCAGATTATCAGCTATCAGATTATTAGATTTGAATGGCTTTGCCTTATACATTGAGATTACTCTGTACATGAGTAAGGCTATTCATTGGGTACTCTTTTTGGTGTGATTTTTCAGTATTTGTTCAGTTCTCAGATTTCAAATTATGGAATTCAGTTAATTCAGTTTTCAGAATAAAGCTTTCAACTTATAGTATTGAACAACAACAATATTTCATAGATTTTCATGAATATCAGATTCTTTATATTTGTTATACCTTATAGATACTTATCTAGAATTTAGAACAAAGAATTTTATAATGTAATCATGTTTAGTTTTTTTAAAAGTATTACTAGATTTAGAAATTCTCAAGGATTTAATGAAGTTAAAATTTTTAGAAAATATGCATAAATGGAAAAAGTTTACTTATTTGCAAATCGTCCACTCACTGAGTTGCGAACTCATATTTTTGTCATGTCTTTCCTATCAGGAGACCGTTGATTTTTGAGATACTTGGAAAAGCCTGTTGTAGCGAAAAAGACCGTTTCATAGTATGTAATGCATAGTTGGTGGACTCATGTTTATTAAGTACTTTGTCTAATATTTGGGGTGTCATACACTTTGTAGAAGGGTTTGCAATTGATGTAATGTTTGCATGTAGACATGATGTGGTTGTAGAAGCACTCAGACGAATTTTGTTATATTTTGTTTTAGTTGTGGTGGTATTAGTGGAAGTGGTGGTTTCCAAAAATTTTGATTTGAATGTCTATTTGAGGTTTTGATGATTTCTCAGGTTGGTTTTGTCCATTTTTAAGGGGAAACTCTATCAAAATCTACATAGAAATATAGCACAGTCAAATAGGTCAAGTTTGCCTTGGTGGTGGGTTCGACATTTAGCTGGCATCTACCACCAGAGTACGACACGTGTCGAGTCAATTAGTTTGAGTTGGGATGGGTCGTGTCAATGCAAGTGTTAAACAATGTGACAAAAATCAGTGTACAAATAGCAAAGTTAAGTCGGTAAGAACCTTGCGACATGTACACTATAGTGTACACTTTAGTTTACACTTTACCATGTGACATTACCCTGTTGGACAGTTTAAATTTCAAACAGTTTTCCCATCCAATTGACACTTGATAACAATGCAAGTGTCAAACAACGTGTTAAAAATCAGTGTACAAATAGCAAAGTTCAATCGGTAAGAACCTTGCGACATGTATGCAATGGTGTACATGTTTCTAGGTGATGTTATCTTGTTGGACAGTTTAAATTTCAAATAGTTTTCCCATCCAATTGACACTTCACAAAAACGCAAGTGTCAAACAACGTGTCAAAAAGCAGTGTACAAATAGCAAAGTTCAATCGGAAAGAACATTGCGGCATGTACACTACGGTGTACACTTTTCCAGGTGACATTACCCTATTGGACAATTTGAATTTCAAATAGTTTTCCCATCCAATTGACACTTGACAACAATGCAAATGTCAAACAACGTGTCAAAAATCAGCGTACAAATAGCAAAGTTTAATTGGTAAGAACCTTGCTACATGTACACTATGGAGTACACTTTAGTTTACACATTACCACGTGACATTCCCTTGTTTGACAGTTTAAATTTCAAAGAATTTTCTCATCCAATTGACACTTGACAACAATGTAAGTGTAAAACAACGTGTCAAAAATCAGTGCACAAATAGCAAGGTTCAATCGGCAAGGACCTTGCTACATGTACACTATGGTGTAGGCTTTAGTTTACACTTTGCCATTTGATAGTACCTTGCTGGACAGTTTAAAATTCAAATAGTTTTCCCATCCAATTGACACTTGACAATAATGCAAGTGTCAAACAACGTGTCAAAAATCAGTGCACAAATAGCAAAGTTCAATCGGTAATGACCTTGCCATATGTAGACTATGGTGTACAGTATAGTTTACACTTTGCCACGTGACATCAACTGACTGGACAGTTTAAATTTCAAGCAGTTTTCTCATCCAATTGACACTTGACAACAATACAAGTGGCAAACTACGCGTCAAAAATCAGTGTACAGATAGCAAAGCTCAATCGGTATGAACCTTGCTAAATGAACACTTTAGTTTACACAATGCCACGTGACATTACCCTGTTGGACAGTTTAAATTTCAAATAGTTTTTCCATCCAATTGACACTTGCCAACAATGCAAGTGTCAAACAACGTGTCGAAAATCAGTATACAAATAGCAAAATTCAATCGGTAAGAACCCTGCGACTTGTACACTATGGTGTACACTTTGTCGCCTAACATTACCCTATTGGACAGTTTAAATTTCAAACATTTTCTCATCCAATTGACACTTGACAACAATGCAAGTGTCAAAGAACGTGATGAAAATAAATGTACAAATAGCAAAGTTCAATCGGTACAAACCTTGCTACATGTACACTTTAGTTTATACTTTACCACGTGACATTACCCGGTTGGACAATTTAAATTTCAAACAGTTTTCCCATCCAATTGACACTTGACATCAATGCACATGTCAAACAACGTGTTGAAAATCAGTGTACAAATAGCAAAGTTCAATCAGTATGAACCTTGCTACATGTATACACTTTGTCACGTGACATTACCCTATTGGACAGTTTAAATTTCAAATAGTTTTCCCATCCAATTGACACTTGACAGCAATGTAAATGTCCAGCAACGTATCAAAAAATAGTGTACGATTAGTAAAGTTCAATCAGTATAAACCTTGTGACATGTACACTATGGTGTACACTTCAGTTTACACTTTTTCACATGGCATTACCCTGTTGGACAGTTTAAATTTCAAACAGTTTTCCCATCCAATTGACACTTGACAACAATGCAAGTGTTAAACAATGTGTCAAAAATCGATGTACAAATAGCAAAGTTCAATCGGTAAGAAGCTTGCGACATGTACACTATGATGTATAATTTAGTTTACACTTTGCCACGTGACATTACCTCATTGGACAGTTTAAATTTCAAATAGTTTTTTCGTCCAATTGACACTAGATAACAATGCAAGTGTCAATCAACGTGTCAAAAATCAGGGTACAAATAGCAAGGTTCTATCGGTAAGAACCGTGCGACATTTACACTTTGGTGTATACTTCAGTTTACACTTTGCCACGTGACATTACCCTGCTGGACAGTTTAAATTTTAAATAGTTTTTCCATAAAATTGATACTTGACAACAATGCAAGTGTCAAACAACGTGTCAAAAATCAATGTACAAACAGCAAAGTTCAATCGGTATGAACCTTGCTACATGTACACTATAGTGTACACACTTTTGTTTATACTTTTCCACGTGACATTACCTTGCTGGACAGTCTAATTTCAAACAATTTTCCCATCCAATTGACACTTGACCACAATGCAAGTGTTAAACAACATGTCAAATATCAGTGTACAAATAGCAAAGTCCAATCGGTAAGAACCTTGCGACATGTATACTTTGGCGAACACTTTACTTTACACTTTCCCACGTGACATTACCC